GTGCGTTCCTCCGCCTATAGCGCGTAATTAGAACAACAGCCGCCGGCCTGGGGATGGCGGCCTGTGTGCAGCAAGACGACAACAACACAGTCTGGACTGAACGACCAACACAGGCCGTTCATTTCTGCAACACGAGAAGCCACCGCGAGCCTCCACAGCCAACCTGCCGATCTGGTCTTAGCACCAGGCACGCACCGCCTGCGAGTGGCCAGCGGGGCGGCAGGCCAGCTTGGTTCCTGCATTAGCCCTGACATCCGCCAGACCACTTGCGGCGCCCAGATGCTTTGGCCCCTGTCGCCCGTCCTGTTTCCCCCTTTCAGTGGCCACTTGTTTCCGGTCCGCGCTACCGTGCTGTAATCTCCTGACGGTATATATCCAGGCAGCGAGGTCGCCTTGCTGTTTTTTTCACTTCACAGCCAAACTTTCGAGCTTCAAGTCCTTTGACCTTCGGTCGTCCATTCGTTGTTACCAACTAATACTATCATTAATAATACACACTCGCCAACTCTCTCCCACCACCTCCATCACCAACCAACACTTCCAACTCTACCGTTTCAAGTTCTAATACCCAACAATCAACATGCGTTACTCCATCGCCATCGCTGCCTTCGCCGGCCTTGCCGCTGCCGTTCCCCAATACGGCGCCTACCCCGCCGCCCCGGCCAGCACCCCCGCTGCCCCGGCCTACCCTGCCTACCCTGCTCAGCCCGAGTCCAGCAAGCCCGCCTACCCTGAGGTCCCTGCTGAGAGCTCCAAGGCTCCTGAGTACCCAGCCTACCCCGCTGAGACTCCCTCCGCCCCTGCTCCTGAGTACCCCGCCTCCAAGACCCCCGAGGTCCCTGAGCACGAGTCCTCCGCTATGCCTACTCCTTCGGCCTCCAAGCCTGCTGAGTACCCCATGGAGACTCCTTCCAAGCCCGCTGAGGTTCCCTCCGTCTCCACCAAGACCCCCGAGGTTCCTGAGCACGCCACCTCTGAGGTTCCCTCTTACCCTGCCTCCTCCATGACCCCTGAGGTCCCCGAGGCCGAGACCACCTCCTGCCTCAGCTCCACCACCATCACCGTCACCGTCCCCTACCCCACCGGTACTCCCGTCGTTCCTGGTGCTGGCAAGCCCTCCGGCTACCCCATGGTTCCCGGTGCTGGCAAGCCTTCCGGCTCTGCTCCTTACCCATCTGCCCCTGCCGGTGGTGCTCCCTACCCCTCTGTCCCTGCTGGCACTGGTGCTCCCCCTGCTGCTGGCACTGGCTACCCCACCAAGACCGGTGGCTACGTCAAGCCCTCCACCCCCGCTGAGTTCACTGGTGCTGCCTCTGCTCTCAACGTCGGTGGCTTCGTTGCCGGTGTTGGTGCTTTCGCTGCTTTCTTCTTGTAAATGTCATAACCTTCAATTGAGCCTGTCTACGGGCAGGCTATGACTTTGCACGATACATTGCATCGAGGATTGGTCTTCACTTCAGTAGATATCCTTGGTGTCGGAAAGGGTAATTGTAATTAGTCCGGGGATGGTGTGGTTGAATAAGAACTTGGAAAATACTTCTCTGTGCCTCATCGTGATGCTTCTGTGCAATGCTGTGAACTTGATCCATTCTACAATGCTACATTAATCCGCATCTACCTACGCTTCTCGATTACTTGACGAATGATCTCGAAGCCCACCACACACGAACGCTGAACCGATGCTAACACAACCTGGGTTTTATGCCCTACCAAAGGCTGTCATGAACTTCTGTGGCATGCGATGTAGTCGCACATGGATACACAGCATCAGCCTACATGTACGTCTTCTTTGCTTATGCACCTGCGAACGTGCCTGCTTCTTTCAGTGCCACGACGTCAAGGATAGCGCTGCATGCGACGCGATGACGCTCTACCGCCGAAGCGAAAGCTGCCCATCGATTACCGCAAACTCGCTTCCTGAGAACACCAGAACTGCACCCTACGTTCTCTTGCAAATCCGCTTCGACGACCACCTGATCACGGACGGTGATGACCCTGCATGGCGATAATTGTTGGAAGCGTAGCCTGGAAGCTATGTTTCGGCCACGAACTATATTTCGATAGCCATGGTTGTTTCATCAGCCGTGCACCGTCGCCGCGCTGCGAACGCCACCCTCTACAATTTTCAAGCTTTGCGCTAGACCAGCGCGAACCAGGGCCATCTAGCATAGTTCCTTCTACGGGTGCTCGGTTCGTTGGCGCACGTCTGGTATTTGGATGCAGGTGCTGCAACACGACCGTGGAAACACAGTACGCTAACTGCGGCATGCCGCCTGCCTCCGACAGATGCCCTCGTCCAGCTTGAGCAGACTTGCCCAGCTGTCAAAAGGCACATTTCAATACTGAACTGCATGACGGACGACTCCAACAGTCTTGGGAATGCTGAGTCAATACTCGCGTCAACGGGTAAAAGGTGGGGTTCCGGTATCCTTTGCTGCATGAAACCGCCAACCACCAATAGTACTCAAAAACATCGTCTAGACGTCTGACTTTACAGGAATGAGCGCAGGGTCACGATACTACCGCCCGAATCCAGAGCTTACCCAGCTAGCCACGTCTCACCTGAGAACCTACCCAGTCCTGCCTGACATTCCTGGCAAATCGTATGAATTGGAGGCGTCATTGGGATTGCCATTTTTGGAGTCAAGAGATATTTGCTTGTCAGCTTACTTTTAGATGATAGGTCCTTTGTTTCGAATGTGTAGGCGAGAATACGACGCGGTACGCGAACGTTGGACGATCGTTGCCTATGTGCGCGCCAGCCTGACGGACCTGAGCTGGAATAATGGTATGGAGAAAATGGGAAGTATAAAGTGAGAGAGTAAACTTCCTGAAGTGAACCACGCGTTCGCTCCGGTTTCTAACCTACTCATCTTGTTTGATCGATCTATCAAAGCTATCGAATCAGGTTCCCTCGTCTCATCATGAAGACCTTCACGCTTTTCTCGGCCTTCCTGGCCACGGCCATCGCTGCCCCAGCCACACTTGCGCCAAGCGATATCACACCACGCACATTGGGCGTCCTCAAGAGCCTTGCCAAATGTCCGGCAAACCCAGCTCAACCCGACGGGAAATTACCAAAGGGAAGCATATCGACCTCAGCCCTGGTACCCATCAGCGCGAAGAACCCCGACAAGGCCTACCCAGCTACCGAATGGGCGACCATCACGCCCAAAGACAAATGCACAATCTTCAACCTCGAGCTCGACTCCGACGCCACCCAAGGCAAAATCTGCAACCTCGTCTTCGACTTCCCTTCTCTCGTCCAAGCACCCGGTCTCTTCGTCTTTAAGGGACCCGGCCATTTCATGTTCACTGGTTATGCCATCAATGCTGGTGCAGAGCCTGGTGTTACTACATACAACAAGCAGCCGGCTCCAGGTCCTAGCCCACCGAACCCTCCGGCAGTCATAAAGCCAGGCAACAGCTATGTTGTCAACGGTGCGCCGTGTGGAATCCCACCTGGTATTGGAAAAGTTACTGTCAGTGGAGCGCTGTGTTCCGAGGACACGACTTTGACGTTCAAGCAAAGCGACTTGATCTGTCCGTTGGGCTTTTACGTTGTGCTTACTGATGATCCTAACGCGGGAGGGTATGCGGCTCCTCACTAAGCATTTGGTGTCGTTTTGATGATCATAAGGAGCATTAATTCAGTACATTAGCGTAAAGACTCCAATTCATGTTTGCAAATTCCAACTTTGACATTCTATCGTGCCTTCGTGAAGAAACGGGGCTACTTGTAGCGCTGTCGGGTTCGCTCTTTCCCTACCGTCATTCTGCATCGATGCAAATCCATCATCGCCCGATCAACGTCGTCGATATCGGTATGGGGAGTGTGAAGAGATTTGCGATTTTGAGTATTGCAGCGACGTGGACACGCCTCGACGTACATCGGAAGTCTCCGACACCCGATCGCTCTTGCGTGTTTGCGACGTTGCGCGGGGAAGCGTACTAACCCTATCAATCTCTACAGCGGCAAGAACTCGACTTACTTTGTATCGATCAACCAAACCGTCCCATTTGTACCATCGCAATATAACAAATCTGTTCCGTGTGTCATTTCCAGGATTCAGATGCGAATTATCGTCCCGCGTCAAATTCATCTAACTACCTAGAGGCTCAAGATGGAAGCGCACAACAACACAACAGTTGAACGTCTCAAGAACGCAACATGGTACTTCCTCGATCTCGACGACACTCTCCACGAATTTCGCAAGGCATCTTCTGCCGCCGTAGACGCGACACTCCGCCTCATTCTAGAAAACCACGCTCACCATGAACTTTCTTCCGGTGAGCCGCTCACAATCGCCGAGCTAAGAGCGGAATACCTCAAGATGCTCAAAACCGGCACATCTACCGCATTCGTGGATGGTAAAACAAGTCACGAGTACCGTGCCGAGCGCTTTCAGGGTGTTATGAACGCTTTTGGTATCGATTGTACGGAACAACAGATGCAGGCCTTGCTCGACACGTACGAAACTGCAATTATGCAGAATCTGCAACTAAAGGAAGGCGCTATAACACTTCTTGAGACACTGAAGCAACGAGGGAAAAAAGTGGCAATCATCACCGAAGGTCCTCAAGATTCGCAGGAACGTACTGTTGGTGCTTTGGGCCTAGAGCCATACTTTGACAGGCTAGTTACTACGAATAAGCTTGGTGTGGCGAAGATTGACGGTCTTTTTGGCAAGGCGTTGGAGATGATTGGTGTGAAGAGCGAGGAAGTGGTCATGGTGGGTGATAGCTGGGATAGGGATGTTGTTCCTGCGATGGAAGCGGAGATCAAGTGTGTGTGGTTAGCTGAGCAAGACGAGGAAGGAGAGAGGATGGTTGCTTTGGGAGGGGAAGAGAAGAGAGTAATGGTAGTGAATTCGTTGGGTCGGCTACAAAGTATGATTCTAGAGGCTCAGGTCTGATCGTATTAATCATCGATAAGCCTGCAGGATACGTTGCGCAGATGCAAAGCAGATGAAGGGCATGTAATAAGTGCAAGAGCCCGCTCAATCCTCCCCAATAACCTCCGTGGACCATTCCGGAATAATGTTTCCGTCCTCATCGATGGGATTCCCATGCTCGTCGACACGATCTCCGTCCTCGTCGACGAGGTTTCCATCCTTGTCGATACGCTGTCCGTTATCCTTGATAATATTCCCATTCTTATCAAGAACGTTTCCGTCTTCGTCCTCGTCTGGCATGGACATGGCGAAGTCAGCAACTCGGAGAGAGCCATCTTTCGGGCGCTGAATGTGCTTCAATTTCTAATTCCTTCAATCAGCCATGATGAAATTTGAGAAGATATTACTGTGGTGTGCTATGACAGAGAAACCGCCGAAAGAAAGAGAAAGGTTACTTACATTGCTCCAAAATTTCCTGCTTGGTCTGAAGAGCATGCCACTGAAGGAGACGGCGTATCCGCCGGGCTCCTGCTCACTATTAATAACGAGGATTCCCGCAAAAGATTAAGAGCTTTGCGTACGCTGAATACTCGGTGCTCATCGATATCATGTTGTACCTCGCTCGAGCTGTTAATCCCAAGTTTGCCGATGTTTGTCGCCCCGATTTCCGCTCCGGTGTCGATCTTGCTGCCCGTCTTGTTCCACATGGCAATGTCGCATTTCTGCGTGACCCATGTGGCTGTAATGACCCAAATGCCGAACTGATAGATCGATTCCCTATATCTATCAGTTAAGTCCTTCATGTTGTCCTGGATCCACTTCTCAACGATCCTCCGCGCGTCGAGATTGAACTTCGTGTGCACTACCCCTGGCGATACGATCACACCTGCACCGGCCTTTGCAGTGCTTCCTACTGCGAAATTGGCTCCAACGTCCACAGGTGCTTGAGCAGCAATCCCGGACACCTCTGCCTTGGCGCCAAAACCACTGCCCTCGTTCTTCTCGACAACCTTCTTATTCCACGTGCAAAGCGTTGGCTCGGCCAGAACGAGCTCCTCCTTCGGGATTTTGTAGTTCTTGGGGTTATCATCCTTGAGTCGAGTAAGGTCGGCAATTTTTTCCCACACTCCATTGTCGTTGAATAAGCCGCAAGAGCCGGGATGGAAGTTGTGAGCCTTGGGTGGTGTGTACAGGTAGGTGCCTTCGGTGCACTTGCTCATGAGTTGGGCGTATGCTAGTTCCATTTTGTTGTCGTTTGTGCTTGTGAATATGAAAGGTTGAGGAAGAGATCGCGAATAGAATGACTGAAGTCTGGTCTTTTCACACTTGAGAGGAGGTCTCTATATAACGTTGCGCAAGTTGCTTACTACGATGAAAAAAAGAAACAAATGCTATGAGCTCTGCTGAGAGTTCTGATCTGCAGCTTGTCAAGCCATACCCCTAGTACTCTGGAGTAGCTAGATTAACCCCAACAGTAATCGCCGAACAGAGGATACAGCTGCGAAGTTTTGGGCAAATGACGGGCTGCGCAAAGGTGTTGTCAGTCAAACACCAATGCACTGCTCCGCAGATCATGGAACACGGCGAGGCTATCGAAGATCATTTCCTCATTCTAATGTTGATCGATAGGGCATAGCGAGAGTGTCGAAAATCGTTCCCACACCTCTATGTCGATTAATAGGGTAGCACAGTGAGGGTACTGGAAATCATCTCCACCCATATGTAGTGATCGCTGGGGCGGCCCGCGCGCCATCGGTAGTTCCGAAGATACACAAATTGTACGTTACCCGCGGAGGGACGTTGTCATGTACCGTCGTCCTAATACACAACATGTACCAGAGCTTTGCGCTTGTGACTTTGCGCGAGGCTACGAAGGCGATCAATTGTTTGTGCTTGTAAACTCGTAACGAATATGTCCGTCGATTTCTGCGAGATTCGGTATGCCAACGCACATCCGGATTTCGATCCTGATCGCACCTGCGTCATTGAAAGTTTATAGTCTGGACTTTCGACCAGAGTGCTGGATGTGGAGATGGTCGAAGCTTCCTATGATGTTGTTGTGTCGTCAGAAAGCCGCCATATCTGGTGGATCTAAGCGAGGTGGGCCTGCTGCGATGGCATTCGTCGTGGGCTTCTGCGGGTTTGACTCGATCGAGTGGCCGCGAAGCTATCCAGCAGCCGCCATCACCGTGTCAGTGGACTCGTGTTCAGAGGGACGTCGCGCTATCGGCGTACTCGAGAACGCGTCGTTAGCGCACACGTCGCGAGAGCTGTCAGTGTCAGTGTGCTCCGTGCGCAATCTCGGCATTCGCTCCCGCGGTCCATGAGTCTTGCCGATGAAGCAAAGGACTAGCACGGCCTTAGCATCGATCACTTCTGCACAAGACAGCAAATCAACCACGATGAAGGTTTGGGACAATGGCAGATGTTATGATCGCGTCTCTGAACTCGCCCAACGTCACAGCTGACATGGCACCCGAATGTTTAACGTAGGCTCGGGACTGAGGAGGCGCTTCGCTGACCACCTGTAACGCGGCTTGGAGGGGTATAAAGTCACTGTTCGAATAAGAGCGGGATGACCCTATTGTGCGTACTGCAGCAATCGTATGGGAAGTATCTAAAGCTCAATGAACTAACCCATCGACTCCATACCTCCCTTTCAGTCTCGCCATCACACTCCATTCCGTCCATCCCGACTCACATACCACATTGCCTCATGCCCATCACACCTCACCGTCCCCCGCGCTGCCACCTTCCCATCATGCAGATGCGCAAACCGCTTAACCGCCTCATCAACAATATCGGCCATATCCTGGTTATTCATATCGAACGAGAACTCATGCGGCGTGTTGGGTATAGCACCAATACTGAACCCGCAGGGAAATTGGTGCATATGTTGTTGGTAACCTTCTGGTTTGCCTTTGGCATATCGGTGTTAGTGGGATGACGAGTGGAGGTACGGGCTGAATTTACCTTCTAGTTGGACGATCCATTCGCCAGCGTCTCCGAAGATGCTAAAGCACGACTCCTGGCATTCTGTTGTGGTGGGTGGGTTGGTCGCGGATAGGGTGGTGTCTTCGTAGGTGAGTGTGTCGCAGTGGCCCAATGTGCTCTTGTCGCCTTCGCAATAGTTGATGTCTGGAGAGAGTTGGGCTGCTATGAGGGTGGCAGCGAGGAGATTGAGAAAAAGAGATGATGTTGGGTGCATATTGATGGCTTGATCCGGTGAGTTGAGAGTGATGGTGTGGAGGTGGAAAACGGGTTGTGAGGGAATATGAGGTCGTCTTGTATGTGTTGACATGATTCTACGCCTTGCACATACATACGAGGTGCATCACAGCGTAGGGTAGTTATTGGATGGAAGATGGACTGATGTGAGACGTGCAGCGGTGATGCGAGGTAAGTCATATACCCGCGGGGATCTTCAGATGAAGTGACGAATCAAATTGACGGCAGCATGTTCATCGGCAAACAACAGACTATGATCTACATACCCGCCACTACGGCGTAGCCCATTCACACACCATAAGCTGCATGCGCGCGTAAACCCTAGACTAGCACGTTGAAATACATTGGTTACACTACCCCTGTATGTCAGACATACTGGCACTATGCCTATTGGACGCTTCGATCCTTTTCTTCGTCGCGCTTCTTAATCGGCTACTGAGAGTATTCCAGATGCTACAACTCAAACTGTCTGCTCTTACGATCTTCCCCAGTCTTCTTGCGACCTTCCCTAGCTCGCTTCCAACCTTCATCGTATCGCTTGCGAACTACAACATATTGCTTCCGAAGTTCCTCAGCTCGCTTTTGTACTCGCGCTAATTCATCCTTCGAAAGTACATCACCACCCCGGAAGACAAACGTGCGGTCGAAAACTTGCTTCTTAATCTTGCCGAGTAGACTCAACACTTCATCGGACTTGGCCGGCTTGTCCTCAGTACGGGACTTAGAAGAGATGTGCACGCGGCCACCGTTAGAGCCCAGCGGTGGACTACTAATCTGGTTCATCGTCTGCTCGACAAAGTCTTGCCACAGCGCGTTTAGCTCTGTCTGAGTAGCCTCGGGCATGTCGTCAAAATCGAAGTACTCATCGTATATAGCGTCGATTCGATCCTCTATCTTTGCAAGCTTACGCGACTTTGCAAGCTTACGCGAAGGCGTGTCCTGGTTGATACGCGGCGACTCACTGTCGTCTTGGTTGAGACGCAGTGTCTCCCCGTCGTCTTCCATGTGGATAGAACCAAACCGCTCAACGAGACCTTCCACACGGATGATCGAATGTTCGAGTTCTCGATTTAGGATAATGAAGCGTGTGTTGAACTCCTCTTTCACAGCTGGGTCGATATCAACTGAGTTAGTGGTAGCTTGAACTCTGTTTGTGAAGGTGGACACAGCCTTTTTGGCGTTATCGAGAGCATGGATGGCAGCATTGCCAGCGGTAGCGACGCTCGCTTGTACAGAGGCTTTTGGCGGGGCGGGGGCGGAGGCGGACACTAGACATGCTAGGCTGGCGAAGAGGGTGGTGGTCGTGGACAGCTTCATGTTTGTGACGAGTGACTTTGGGTGTAAGGTTGAGAGATTGAGTAGAGGTGGTGGATGGGAGGGGATCAGAAGGTAGACTGGTGGTACCATATATACATCGAGGGAAGAAGCAAGAGGGTGGGTGATTCACGCACGGACCGTGCTGTGGGAAGGCGAGTGAGCTGCCTATCGATGACATCCTTTCACTATCTACGGAGGACTAGCGGTGTCTTTCACGGGTGGTTCCATGTAGTGAGACAAACTTATGCACACTTGGATAAAGGTAGCAAACAATATGGGGTATCCTAACACATCCAAACCAACCTGCACAAACAGATACGCCGCGCAATGCTTTTAAAACGAGACAAAGTATCTCTTCGTTCTCTTCACAAACCACCCATCTGACTAACCTCTCCAAACCCCACTCTCGCCCTACCACCTCTTCCCCTACTCTTCCTCATCGCACTTCCACTCCCATTTCCACCAACAGCAACACTCCCCCCAAACCCACCTTCCCTCAACCTCCTCTCAAAACTCGTCACACCACCAACTCCCAACCTCGCATCCCTACTACTCTGCACAGGCGGCGCACTCATAGTCCCCAACCTACCCCTTCCTTCCCTCTCCAGAAACGAGGAGCCCAGCGGTCGCCTCACAGGAGAAAGAACATGTGCTTTCTCAGGACTAGGCGGGAGTTCAGGTCGTTTAGCACGGACAACGCTACGTTTACTGGGTGTTTTGAGGTAGCCTGGTTTACTGGTTGTAGTAGGAGGAGGGGGCAAGGGCGTTCCGGACCAGAAAGTGGATTGTGCGGCGTCGCCAAAGGAGAGGTCGGATTCGTCGTCTTCGGGGATGGTGGCGGGAGGGGGGCGAACGGCGGATTGGGGTTGCGGGTAGGTGTTTGGGCGGCGGAGGATGGAACCTGGGGGGCGGGTTGTTGATGCGGGTGAGGGAATGGGAGCGTAGGGGTTGGGGGTCAGCGTTGGATGGCGGGGTGGCTGTTCTGGGGTAAGGGAGAGAGAGAGGTCGAGATCGTTGTTTAGACCTAGAGCGGTCTCATCGAAGGCAGTCCAGGACTCGAGGCGTTGGGTCTCGTCACCGGATTGCTGAAAACCTCCTTGCCCGGCGGTGTTGTTGCCGTCATCGTGGTCGTCAAAGCCTCCGTCGTTTCCGTGACTGGTATAGTCATCCTCGTCATCCCGTCTTCGTCTTCTCGACCTACTAGGAGGCGATGGACTCGCAACCCGTTGGCCACGCCGCTCGGTAGCACGCTCGGCCCAGAAACGAACCATGGCCCTAACATGCTTCTCAAAGTTCCTCTCGAACAACGCTCTCGCGTTCTCCTCTTGCCTCTGGAAGTTCCAAAGACGCCAGCCCATCTTCTTCAGAGCACCAGTGGCAGCAATCTCTGTGCTCTCCTGCCGCAGAGCGACAGCTTGCCCTTCAAGTGTGTGTACAAGGTCCATGCGTTGTGACCAGATGGCGAAGTAACGGGTGGAGAGTTTGAAGGCGTGGAGGCTCTCGGCTTGGGCATCCTGCTGGCGGAGTATGAGCGTGCGGTCGTGCCATTGGTGCAAGATTGCGCCACTGCTTTGGAAAGTGCGATTGTCGAGTACATCGTTTGCCCTTTGTGTCAGCACTGCAATGTGGTTTGCCTTGTCCCGCCAGTGCTCAAAGACTCTGCGCACGAGATTCGTCTTGACCATTCTACGGACTTGCGAGTATGTGTCGCGTCTGCGATTACGGCGCGCATGTTGTGTGGCTTGGCTCCATGTGTTCAGTGTGTGTTTGCTAAGGACGTAGAAGCGCGCATCGGCCGACCATTGGTTCAACTCTTGGAAGTGTGCTAGCCTCTCCTTGAGCTTGTCGAAAATGCGTTGCTTGAGCTTTTGCTGATATTGGGATAGAATAGCGAACTGCTCCCTTCTTCTCTCCGTAGTGATAGCTTCCATCTTGCGCAAACACGTCCGCATCAGCTGAGCACGCTTGAACTGGGCGAACCGAACTTCCGCAGTATCGAGGGTGTTGACGCGCTGGTTGGTCTTGGTGACCCAGGATAGGAATGTTGACTGCGTGAGCTGTCGATCGTGGACACGCTGGAAGAGGGATACTCGGGATGCTAAGGTCCATTTGTACAAGCATTCAACAATGATGCGGTCGTTGATCCGATCCTCGAGAGCTTTGATTCGCAATCTGTCATTCCAGGCAGTGTAGGCATTGCGTAGGACGCGCATGCGGTCAACATTGCGTGCTTGACGAGATAGCTGAGCGTCTTTGCGCCAGTCCTGGAACTTTGCACGAAGCAAACGGCCGTTGGTGCGTGCTTGGACCTGGCGCAGTAGTGGCTCAAGTTGTGCCTGCCTCTGGAGTGTCTGGACCGTCGTTCGAAGGAGTGAGGTCTGTCGAAAGCGGTCCGCCTGCGAATGCAGACTCGTCACTGCGGTTGTCTTCTGCTGCCACGTCCGGAACGTCTTGCGCATGAGTGTTCCATCGCGCCGATCCGTGGCCCACATGTTCCGCTCCCTCATGATCTCGGTGATCTCACGCCATTTCTGCAGTGTTGTCCTTGCTGTCCTTGTGTCATGCCAGTTTGCTGCGCCTCTGTTGAGATACTCGTTGTTGAGAGCATTCCATGACTTCCTGACAATCTTCTCTTCATAGTATGACTCAGCGAAGTCATTGCGATCCTGCACTTTTGCTGCGCGTGCTCTCCATATCGAGAGGAACTTTGCAAGAGCAAAGTGCTGAATCTTCAGCTCGTTGACTGCCGTGATATCGCGCCAGCCGTTGAAGAAGCGTGTGCGTAGAATATGCCGTCGCGCAACCGATGTTCGCTGAACCTCGTCCTCGGCGCACTTTGCCCAGTGTGTGAAGGCTTTCGTGAGCAGGAACAGACTGCGAGCCTTGTCTGCACGCGTTTCTAGCCGATCGAAGAAGCGATTCGTCTCTCTGCCAGAACGTCTTACGAGCGTCGTGTCGCGTAGCTGCAAGAGGGAGGCCCTGAGCAAGATGCGACGGTCGAAGGCGACAGCAGCTCTCTCCATATCCTCGCGCAGATTCAAGCGCTCTTGCGTGCGGTTCCGCCATATCCGTATACACTCTCTCGTCACTCGATGTAGGCGTTGCTCTTCGAAAGTTTCCGCATCGTCCATCAATCGGGTATCGGAGGGTCGAAACGGTTCGGGGACATATTGTTGCTGTTGAGTCTGTCGTGATTGTTGAAGGCGACGCTGGTGCGGGGAATCGTAGGGATCGTTCGGTATCGGCGCGTTCACTCCTGGTATCTGGATGGAGGAGAGGTCGAGGCTGGCCGTGTGGTCGGTGAAATCGCTCTCGTCTGCATCATGAGTTCCAGTTCTGTATGTCGTCGTAGGATTTCTTCGGATTCGCAGACTGCCGTAACTTGACACAGACGTACTGCGCTTGTGCACTGGCGGCTGCGGTCCGGAACTTGACCTCCGAGGCGCAATGCCATTCACTTTGGGGCGACTGGGAAGTGGCGCTGGCCGGTACGAATGCGCTTCGGTGTCTGACGTTGCGCGCCGGTGGTTGCGCGTGTTGACATAGCCGTCAGGAGCATTCTGCCGTGATGCTCTCCTCGGGCGCACAGCCAAATCGCCATAGTCGGTGCCCGCGACCTTGTCTGCAGTCCCATCAAGGAACGAGTCGAAGCTCCCGGTTCTCGTGTACCGTCCCAAGCTCGCCTGCGCCCCTCTACGCGTCGCGTCAATATTGTTCGGGATTTCAACGACCTCTTCGTCGCCGAGTTCTCCATTGAGACCGAAATGCTCCTTCACCACGCGCAGAACCAGCGCCATCAAGTCTTCGCCTTCACGCGCATATTCCTGCATGCGCAACAGGAAACTGTAGTAGAGAGCGGCATCGGTGGGCGAAGAACGGTGCTCCTTGACGTATTCATCGTATGCGACGAAGAGGGCGTCAATCGATCCATCGTGGGAGTCTTGCGCGCGAAGGACGATATTGTGAATGGCATCGGAGACTACTGCGCTGTTAGTATATCCATTGACCCATTTTTTGTCTGTTTATATTACCTTCATCCCGACAAAGATCATCAGCTGTTATAGCCCTCGCATCATCTCCATTCAGCCTCATGGAGGATAGCATTCGTGCACGCGACTCGTTCGTCTCCGGCGCGTTCGCGACAACATGGAAGGGACCGGCGGCTGTAATGATTCGAACAGCAACCAAAAAGCAGCGGCATGCGAGAAAGTAGTCGTGGGTTCGTCGCGCAACAATTAAGCATTACAAGTCCAAAGTAAGAAGAGAGGAGCGATGAAGGGCTGTTGGTGCGCCCGCGTTTTGGCGTTAGCAGCGACGCGCTTTGTTGTTGGAGTGGTTGGCCGCCCGCGTTCGTGGATGCGAGGGCGCCAAGGCTTTAGTTGGGTGGGCCCTGTTCGTTGACCTCATCGAGGTGGAAGAGCGTGGTTCGCCGTGGCCAAAGAACTTCACGTATCTTGGAGAGACTAATTCTTGTTACACTCCAACACAAAATACACGAGAGAAATACTCAGTACTACTCGAGATGCCCGGTCGAACCCGTCCTATCGATAAACTCGCCACAGCGGCTGCAAAATGCTCGACAGAGGTATGATACGCCCCTCAGTGACAGTCAGGTCCACTCGATGCTGACATACTCCAGAGCGCAGTATACGGCAAATGCATCTTCGCAGACTACAATAATGTACGAAAAGACATGTGCGTCAATGAGTTCATGAAACTCAAGGAGTGCTATCTGGTAAGATCTCCTTGTAACATTAGAAGGCAACACAACTAACCGCACGTACAGAAGGCGTATAAGCAGCGGTGACGGCACTCGTAGCGAATCATCATTCTCATCGAAGCACACAGCATATGAAGGCGTTAATTGTAAACATGGAAATTTTGATTTCAATTCATCAACAGATCATGCGCGCCACTATGCTATCGAACCACTCCAGGGAGCTACTATAGCTTGATCAACCGCAACATGAAAGTCGCCTTATGGAGCTCTTGCTCCTCCTCTGCAATAACCTTCTCGTTACTATTCTCCGGGATCTTGCCCTCAACCTCAGTGATGACGTGCTTGTCCACAGGTCTTCGCAAAGCCTTCTCAAACAATGGGCCCTGGTTCTCAAACGCCTGCTCCAGTCCTACACTTTCCGGATCGCTCAGCACTCGGTACTCCATGCCTACGTCGTCGGTTGGCACCAGTCCGGCCTTCTTGCGCAGATCTTGTACACGGCGGATGACCTCACGAGCGAGGCCTTCTTGCTCGAGCTCTGGATATGAGGCGACGTCGAGGAGAATGAGGACATCGTTGTCTGTGTTGAACTCCTGGTCCTTGTTGCTAGAGTCCTTTGCGAGACCGCGCTTGACCATCAGATCCTCAGCCTCAAGCTTGATGCCGTCCACGACAATCTCGCCGTTCTTCAGGTAGTCCTTGATATCTTGGCTCTTGAGATTTGGTAGCGCCTTCTTGACCTTGATGGCGTCCTTCTTCAGCTTCTTGCCAAGCACGGAGAAGTCGGCCGTAGCTGAGTACTGGACGTTGTACTTCTCCTCATCGCTAGAGAGCACAATGTCGCGGACGTTCAGCTCCTCCAGGATGTAGTTCTCCAATGACTTGATGTCGTCAAGGTATTGTTGTTCTGGGTGGATGACCACCAGGGTCTTCAGCGGAATCTTCAAGCCCTTGTTGGCACGGTCACGGCAGATACGGCCAAGCTCGATGACTGACTGCATGCGCTTGACTTGGCGCTCGACATCCTCGTCAAACAGCTCTTCTCGCACTTCTGGGAAGGGGAGGAAGTGGATGCTACGGTTATCTTCCGCGTGCAGTTCCTTGGGGATGTGAGGTAGTAACCGCAGGTAAATGTTGTCGGTAATGAATGGTGTGAAGGGCGCGAGACCGCGGCAGAGTGTGTAGAGAACTTCGAAGAGTGTGTTGAGGGCGTGTTTGGTGTCCTCCAGACCGTGCTCACCCTTTAACCGGCGACGGTTGAAGCGAATGTACCAGTTTGTTGTGTTGTCAATGAGCTCCAATAACCGCGGAACCACGGTGTACAGCCTGTATGCAGCCATCTCCTCGTTCACGAACTTTAGCAGCGACTGGGTGGACGCGAGGATCCATCGGTCAAGCACGTTCTTGTTGGTCTTTCCAGCTGCCGGGTCGAATACGAAGTCCAGACTCTCGACCTTCTTCAGCAGCGATACTTGTTGCTCGAAGAACTGGTAGCTGTTCCAGAGAGGTAGAAGGACCTTGGAAACGATCTCCTTGACACCCGCTTCCTTGAATCGAAGTGTCTCAGCACGAACGACGGGAGAGTTGATGAGGTATAATCGCAGCGCATCAGAACCGTAGTTGGTCATGATCAAGTTGGGGTCGGGGTAGTTCTTGAGACGTTTCGACATCTTCTTGCCATCTTCCGCAAGCACGATACCGTTGACAACGCAGTTCTTGAAAGGCAGCTTGCCGAAGAGATGTGTTCCAAGGACGGTGAGTGTGTAGAACCAACCACGAGTTTGGTCGAGACCTTCGGCAATGAAGTCACCAGGGAAGGACTTCTCGAATTGCTCCACGTTCTCGAATGGGTAATGCGCGCTGGCGTAGGGCATGGAACCAGACTCGAACCAGCAGTCAAAGACTTCATCTGTTCTTCGGAGCACACCCTTGCCGTCTTTGCTGGGAATGGTGATGTGGTCGATCTTATCCCGGTGAATGTCGGTTAGCTCGCCCTCATACCCGCTGAGCTTCTTCAGCTCCTCCACGCTGCCAATGCAGACCACCTCTTTGCCGTCATCGCTGACCCATATCGGAAGTGGCGTACCCCAGAAACGGTTTCGTGATACAGCCCAGTCGGGTGAGTTGGTAATCCAGTTGGCGAAGCGCTTCTCCTTGACGAAGGAAGGAACCCAGTGCGAACCAGCAATGTTCTCCAGCATTTGCGGTACGATGTCCTGAATCTTGATGAACCATGAGGGGACCGTTCGGTAGATCAAGGGTGTGTCAGATCGCCAGCAGAAGGGATAGCTATGGAGAAGTTGTGAGTCTACGATCAAGCGACCGGTGCCTTTCAGATGCTTGATGATGCCCTTGTCTGCTGCCTTGACGTGTTGGCCCTCGAAGTCGCGGACGACCGCGGTGAAGCGACCCTGATCATCGACTGGGTTGGGTGGCGGTCGGGTGTCAGAGATGACACCGTGGGCCTTTGCAACGCGGTAATCGTCCTCTCCGTATGCGGGGGCCTGGTGAACGATACCCACACCACTGTCTGCTGTGACGTAGGTGTCGTTCGCCACCTTGAAGCCGTAGTCCTTGAAATCGTCGTAGAGGTAGTCGAACAGGGGCTCATATTTCCAGCCCAGCATGTCCTTGCCCTTCAACTTCTCCACGACCTTGAACTTGGCCTTCTTTGGATCCTTGTATAGTGTGCGTAGCAGGGCTTCGAGCAGGATGTAGTGTTTGCCGGACGCTTCGTCGAGAATCTTGACGTATTCGAAATCGGGATGCGCGCAGAGACCGGTGTTGGATGGGAGTGTCCATGGCGTAGTGGTCCTGTTCGGGCTGGTCAGCGCACGCCAGTAGCACTGGGTTGGAGTAAGTAGCTTACCATGCCAACAAACACGTGTTTGGGTCGTCGAGCAGCGGGAATGTGACGACTACCGCTGGGTCCTGAACGTCCTTGTAGTTTTGTGAGGCCTCGAAGTTGCTGAGAGGCGTCGCCAACGCTGTGCTGTAGGGCATGACCTTGTAACCCCGGTATACGGCACCCTTGTCGAAGAGACGCTTGAAGACCCACCACTCCGACTCCATGAAGCTGGTGTCCATAGTCTTGTAGTCGTTGTCGAAGTCGATCCAGCGACCCAGACGGTCGATAGTCGCCCTCCATTCGGTCGCATATCGCATGACAATCGCGCGGCACTTCTTGTTGTACTCGGCGATTCCGATTTCGCGTACAGCGTCGCGTCCCGACATGCCCAGTTCTTTGTCGATCTCGTACTCAATGGGCACACCATGAGTATCCCAGCCGAACCGTCGCTCGACATAGCGGCCCTTCATGGACCAGTAGCGGGGAATGATGTCTTTGATGGTCGAGGCCAGGAGGTGACCATAATGCGGCATTCCTGTCGCGAAAGGCGGTCCATCGTAGAAAGTGTATGGTTGCTTTCCTTTTGACTATGGCGAGTTAGCAAGTGTCAACCACACGTGCTTGGGTTCACTAGGCTGTAGCATAGTCACGTACTAGCTCGACTTGTCTCTGGAAGGCGTCAATTTCCTTCCAGCGCGCGAGGATGCGCTCCTCCTCGCTCGGAAAGTTCATAGACATGGTGGCGGCGTGAGTATGCTGAGACAGAGCCGTGGCGGGGAATCTTTTTCTAGAGCCTAGAGTTGACTCCTCCGATCCCCGCCATTAGCGTGACTCAGCCGCTTATCGATAGCACCCCGCCATACCTAGCCATCGACGACGGATGACTCCTGCAACTAACAACATCTCCTGGCCTTGGCGAAGCTTGCCTCACTACACAGATATCCTGTCATCGAGTGAACCGTGTCAACTAATCCAATTTATTCATGCGACCGCCAGGTAGAGCTATCCATCGTAACTGGAAACGTCAGAGCATACTCGCGATGAAACGTCGCATGCATACATCTTCGTTGCGGCTCTGCGGCAACTGGAAGGGTTGAAACTTTGACAGGTCTAGCCGGTTACGATGAAGATTCCAAGCCGATGTGGCAGCCATCACCTCTCACTTTGGTCTGGGCATTCTTATCACATACTTCCGATCGACAATGCGTTTTCTCGTATTCCTTAGCACTTCATTATTTGCGCTGGCCACAGCCTCAAAGAACTCGCCAAACGATCTATCTACCCAGCATCTGCAAGGCAGCGACATCATCATCAGTCCCAGAGATGCCGACATTGACAAGACATGTAGACGCTTACGTACGTTTACACAGCTCAACAAGATCGCACATAACGAGACCCTCATGGACATGATGATCATGCGCGACAAGTTCGCCCAACAACGCATCGACTGGATCAAGAGCAACAGTGACTACATCGCTGCCAAACTCGACAAGCTAACATCCAACTCGACGCTGACAGCGGAATGCGACACGTTCAATGCGCAGCGCGACACAGCTCGTCAGTGCAAGACATTGCAGATATTGGAAAGACTGGTAAATTCGACAAACGGGCAGACTGATTTCAATGGAGGACTTGCTACGGACTTTCTCAGCGATGAGCAGAAACAGAAGTTACAACAAAAGTTCGAGAAAGCGGAACTCAAGCTGCAGCAACTCAGGAGTAATGCAACATTGATGGGTTTCTGCGGCGACGACGTTATATTCCAGCAGGATGGCGCCATTGGAAGTCGTAAGCATTTTTCTACAGTGCGAAACCGAAATGTACTGACTTACATACAGAAGTGGTTGACAACAGCGGCGCCATCAGCATGACGAAAAGTAGTGCAAGGAGTAATGTGCATGAATCAGGAAATGCTTCATCACTGATGATTTTCATGGTTCTGATGACAGTGTCGATGCTGTAGTACTCCCTTCCTTTATGTTGGAAACAATAGCCGGATAAATCTCGTCACTTCGTCGCTTTTTGCGGTTACATGCATGCACGCCAATATATGGAAAAACTGAACAGGTCTGGAGCCTACATCATCGTTAGGGCACCTACTTTGCAGGTTTCCATGTTAATGTAGGCTGCAGACCTGTTCAGTTTTTCCTTTGTATGAGGTGCATGAGGGATGGGGGCACGTGGCGGGGTGTTCGACGACGTGCATGTTGTGGCGTAGCCGTAAAGATGTGCGAACTCAATTCCAAGTCATGGTCATCTCATCAATATTTTACCATGGTCAATGCGATTCTTTGTGGCACAGCTCCACCTGCATAATAGGGAACGACAGAGCATCTTTACCGGACATGTCGATGACAATGACGAGCAATACCGATCGCGCATCTATGCATGATAAACCCGTGCGTTGTACGCCACAAGGGATACCCTTATTTGTGCCAACGATAACTACACCGCGTCTCCGATCAAAACGCTCCGTTTCTGTGCTGGTTTACCCCATCCACCCACTCTTTCGGGCTTGACTCCCGTCTTCTGAGTTGCCCTCAAGACACCCAGTGGTATGACGACATTCGACTTCGGCGACCCACCCCCGGGCCTTAATCTCAGCGAATCCCGGACAGTCGGAAACAGTGTTGTCGCAATCATCTTGTTTGGTCTTTCGGGTGTCTTCGTTGCATTAAGGCTGTTTACTCGCCTGAAGTTGAAACAGGAACAGCTGGGGTGTGATGACTACTTGATCATTGCTGGGCTGGCATTGAACGCGGGGAATCTTGCGTGCTGTATCGTTGGTTGGTAGCCAGTTTCTGGGCAAAGTCTTGATTTTACTGACGCAGCGTGAAGGAGGTTTCTACGGTCTGGGCCGACATATCTGGGCGCTAGGACCTGAGCAAATGCGACATATAACTATCGTGCGCTTACATGCCTGGGCATACTCTTGCGGGACTGACATTTGACAGATCACCTTCGCATACGTTTTTGTCTACGCGTGGAGTGTCTGTGTCATCAAACTCTCCATCCTCGCTTTGTATCGACGTATCTTCGGTATAAACTGGTTGGGTTGGTTCTGTGTTGGCATGACCGCTGCCTACCTGATCACAAACCACGTCGTTCTGCCATTGTACACTCGACCGTTGAGCTACTACTGGGATCAATGGAATGGGGCACACGGAGAAATTCTCGTCGATGAGGCAAAGGTGCGCCGCAGGTACCCCACATTCTGATTGAAGCTGTCTGCTTACGCGATCGCAGTTCTACCTTGGAGCTGGGATCTTCAATCTCTTCGGCGATGTGTGTATACTTTGTATACCCATATCCAACGTTGTCAAATTGCAGATGAAAAGAATGGAGAAAGTGGCGATCTGCTTTATCTTCCTGCTCGGCAGCTTGTAAGCACTGCGAAGTAAGGAAACCGTATTGTTTCTAATCATCGTAGTGTGTGCTTCGCCTCGCTTTATCGTATCATCACCATCGTCCGATTGATGGCCTCGCCAGACGTCAGCTGGAAAAAGAGCGATGTCTTCATATGGTCGTCCGTCGAGCCATCGATTGGCATCATCTCTGGATGTCTTCCAACGCTTCACCCGCTTTTGATTCGTATAACGCGCTGTTTGGCAGGTGCACTCGGTGTTACACCGAGCCATACTCCGGAGCAGGAGGGCCCTGAGAGTCGCGAGACTGGGTCGAGGACGATCAACGCTTGGACAGAACGCTGGGGTAGAACTCGGCCAGCCGAAGAAGATTTGTGCCTGACTACGACAACAGTGTGCGGATCTGCTAATGAAAATGATGGGATCACCTGGCAAGACTTCATCCTGGGACGCCATGAAGAGAGGAGGATTACTATGACGCATGAGTTTGCGATAGACGAGAGCATACGGAGTCGCAACAGCTCAAGATGAGACTAAGCTTTTGCACGTTACTATGAGATGAGATTTGAAGCATGTATTACCATTGGCAGCTGAAGCGACGAGCACCTTCGTTAAAGGACTTCAGGCGCGAGGTAGAAGGGAAGGCGGCCGTATTGGCGGCAATTGAGTAGGGCGCGCCGCTGCAGATACTCGGTATGGAGGGCGAGAAGGGTCTAATTCAACAGACATCATCCGAAGTTTCTGGGATGATGCAGGTGTCTGAGTTGTCGACTTCGGAAGTCCGTCGCACCTGTCGGGTGCATGCAAGCTAGCGCAGAAGGGCCCCCAGGTCATATGTCTGCCTCAGGGCTCGGCGCGACCGCCGAAACCCCGCAATACTTCTTCGTCTCTTCTTCCTCCACTGAACTGACGCCTGCGCACGATTTATCCGTCAAATATGCACAATGACTGTGAGGCGTCCGGACATAAGCCCCCAATCTGTTTCCTGGCCGGTGCGAGGTGTGACACGGCGTACATGCCTCGAATTTGCGATGCCACCTGGGCAGACTCTTGGCCATACCACCCGAGAAGGAACTCTAATAGTAGATCCACGACTCATTGTCCCATTGACACTGCGTTCGGCCCGTATGCTACGATTGCAAGAGAATTGAGAAGATCGAGGTGGATCATTCACTTCTACAATCATTGAATAATGTCGGGACATGGTGCCGGTCTCCGCATTTCGCACCCCGCATCTTGCTGGATGTGGCTTGTCAAGTCTACCGTACTTTTTGCGCTGAGTATAAAGAGTGCTTGTCGCTAAAACACCATGATGATCGGTTGCCAAGTCTTTCTTCCCCGTCGACATGTTTCCTACATCACTGGTGTTGCTTGTCTCGCACTTCGCGCTGACTGGATTTGCCGCTGGGTCGTCTGCTTTTGAGGAGAAGTGTCTCGCATTCGAGCCCGAGAGATACATCAATGGTGCAACCCGCAATGTTCTCCAACATGTTCCGGCAGGGACGAATTTGACGTTTCCTGACAACGACGCGACTTGCGGACGTGCTAGCCAGGTTGTCTCAGTGGATCTTTGTCGTATGACACTAGAAATCAAGACGACCAGAACATCGAAGATATCTTTCGAAGCATGGTTTCCGGAGGACTGGTCCGGTCGCTTTCTGGCAACGGGGAACGGAGGCATTGATGGCTGTAAGTGGTGAATGAGTAGAAGATAGCACGAGTACTATACAGGGTGCTGACAGCGATAACAGGCATCAAGTATGAGGATATCGCATATGGAGCGTCAAATGGCTTCGCTAGCGTTGGCGCAAATAATGGTCATAACGGTACTACAGGAGTAGCCTACCTCGATAATCCCGAGATGGTAGTTGACTTCGCCTGGCGATCGTAAGAAAGTCTCTACTACCCACGGCGCATATACTCACCGGCAATATAGTCTTCACCTAAGCGTCGAAACGGGCAAAGCCTTAGCCAGGGAGTTTTATGGAAAGTGCCACACCAAATCTTACTACCTGGGCTGTTCTCTCGGTGGACGCCAGGGCATCAAGAGCGCAGAGAAATTCCCGAATGACTTCGATGGCATCGTTGCCGGCGCTCCAGGCGTCGATTTCAACAACCTCATCTCCTGGCGCGCACACTTCTACACCATCACCGGCCCCATCAAAGGTTCAGACTTCATTTCGAAGGCAGCATGGCAGACTTGGATCCACGACGAGGTGCTACGACAATGCGATACCATCGACAAAGTCAAAGACGGCATCATCGAGGACCCGAACCTATGCAAGTTCGACCCTACAACCCTACTCTGCGGTCACAACATCACAAATACAACCAACTGCCTAAACGACAACCAAGTGCACCAACTCCAGAAAATCTTCAGCGACTACCGCTTCCCGAACGGCGAACTAATTTACCCCGCAATGCAACCCGGCAGCGAAATCAACGCCGTCGACAAACTCTACGCCGGCGCCCCCTTCGCCTACTCAGACGACTGGTTCAAATACGTCGTCTACAACGACCCAACGTGGAACGCATCAGAATACGGGTACGACGACGCGCAAGCAGCACAGGACCTCAATCCAGGAGATATTCGCACCTACCCTTCTTCTCTGCCTGGCTTCAAGCAAAATGGCGGGAAGCTGCTCATGTACCACGGCCAGCAGGATAACCAGATCACGTCCTTCAACACGAACCGGTTTTACGAGCACCTTCGCGGTAATAACACGTACGCCGAAATGGATGAATGGACGCGTTTCTTCCGTATCTCGGGCATGTTTCATTGCAGCACGGGGCCAGGGGCGTGGGTGTTCGGTCAGGGTGGAAATGCGGCGCAGGCTGGTATTCCGTTCGATGCGAAACACAACGTTCTTGCGGCGATGGTGGAGTGGGTGGAGAAGGGTGTTGCGCCAGAGGTTATTGAGGGCACGAAGTTTGTTAATGATACTGTGAAGAGTGGAGTGGACTTTACGAGGAGGCATTGCAAGTATCCGGCGAGGAACACGTTTGTCGGGGGTAGTTGTAAGAAGCCTGAGAGCTGGGAATGTAGAGCATAGGCTGAGAAACAAAATCAAACTGTCTGCTCAAGTAATGGAAGTCGCGATAACATACTGTTCCTCATTCCGGCCTTTCTTCATTTTGCGATCACCTTGCACAATGAGAATCCTGAACAGGTTTGCAGCATACATTAAAATAAAAGCACGCAACGTAGCTGATCTAACGTCAAAGTAGGCTCCGGGGGTTTTAAGTTTTTTCTTCTTGAACGAGGTGCGATGCTGCCGAACGGTCGCTGTGGTTAATTCAGGGTGCGTACTTCGAGTTCAGACGACGCCGTGGTAACAATGCAGACGCGGGCAATCGACGGCTTTCGAGAAGTTGCCTGATTTGGACTGCGTCAAGCAATGTGCAACAGCCTCGCTCAACCCCTCCAAAGCCTGAGATCTGATCCTCAACTGAAAAGCTTTCATTCGCCAATCCACAAATTCTATGCTTAGTTTGCGGCGCGTTCC